CAAGAGGTCCTACCACCAGTAATTACGCAAATTATAATTTTGCGGGTTTGTTTTTTATTACACAATGTTATTCCTTCATCGTGGAAGTCAATCGTGAACATTTGTTGAGTACGTATTTCATTAGAAAAATTGGTACCTGCCTGAGATTCGAACACCGATGCATAGCTCAACACGAATAAACCAGACGGACGTCTTATCCTTTAGGCCACGACGACATCGATTCTTAATATGTATATACAGGAACTATATATAGAGTATACAGAGCGCATAATTCCCGGAACTGACAGGGCTATAAAATAATACCCACAAACATAACGAAACATGAATTTACATATTGTCAATATGATGATGATGATTATGGACAAAATAAAATCTAATAACTGCTAACTGAAATAAAGGCATTCCTTTCTACTATTGTGAACAGTAGGTTAATGACCCCAAAATATTAAAAGAGCCTAAATACATTTAAAGATATATAAAATAGAAATGATATTAGACTGCTACGGCAGTTTTTATTTATATTTAACGTAATGTAATCCTGTATATGTGTTATAATGTAATCCTGGAGTGAGAACAATCTTAGCGGTGCTACAAAACTATGTGCGCCATTTGTACCACCAACTTAACGTATCTGTGGCCTCATACTCGTATTGAGTGATCTGACTCTTCTGATTTACAATTAACACCATATTTTCCAATTTTTCTAATACAATCCGGATTTGAGCTCATGTTTTAAGATAGGTGGTCGCATTCACGATTTGTCTACGGGTCCCGGTGTAAGCCTTAACTATAAGTGGGCCGTGACCTTCATCATTCACCTATGCAATAAACATAAAGCTTCTAGGGTACATTGTGAGCCCGCACGCAAATGACCGACCAACCTATCTATTTATACCGCGGAGTAGTACCATATATATGAACGTTATATTTTTATACAATTTGCAGATGTTCCGGGTGAAGGCAACTCAAGATCGATAGCCTCCAGTACAGTTGAAAGTCGTATGTCAAAATCATATTTATATTATATTCACGTAGATATAAAATGAACTAGCTGCGATTATTTTTAGAACGAAGTTCCTTATGGGACGATGCGGAAGGGTACCCTAACCGGGAAAAAACGTCCGTAACGTAAGATTTTTATTAGTAATGCACACAGTGTACGACTTAACTTTGTAAATAATGTACAAAAAATAACATATTTTTTTATCTTTCATTGACCGCGATCTCAGAGCGTTCGTTTGCGCAATATACTAACTCTTATGCAAACAACCGTGAATGAAGTGTACCACAATAAGTTCGCACGTTACCGAATGACCGTGGGTTGTTGCGAAACCTCCAGTTTTATTTTCTTTATACCTCGAATAGAACTTAAAATTAATATTTTTATAATAAGGAACTTCGTTCCTATTCGGTGTCCACGACACCACACATCTTTTTTACCTAGTGCCAATAGCCTCAAGGGGCTACTCTGGCTTCACCGGATGTGTAGGCGAGACCACGGCGATCAGCCTAAAAGAATTTGCTAATACTAGCCCTAACAAGAACAGCTCTTCGCTGAATCTACCACCGTAAACTCAGTGGGTTGACTGCGATCGATAATTATCGGAACTTATAGATATAACGTGAACGGGATCAACATCCTTGAGACATGCGGTCGAATAATAATTTGGGTTGGAATTGAATTGCATAAGCTTGTTTTGCAATAACAATGGGCAGGAGAGTTCAGTGCTAGTAACACTGTGTGAATCGAATAGTACTTATATATTGTTCTTTTTGTAAACTTAATAAATATTTACTAACTTATTAAGAAAAAAAGCCGTATACAACACAGTCCATGCAGAGATCGAATAAAATAATGAACGAATCGCTTTCATGAACAACATTATTCACGGGCTTACTTAAACAAAAAAAAAAGTAAAATACGTCCTTTACCGCTATTTATTTTATGGATAAAACAAACTACTTTCAGATACGTCAGGTCATGGTCAAAATGGAAAAGCATCATCATTACCATCTACTGAAACGAGTAAGTGAAATTTATTTCTTTTTAGAATTCAATGGTTACAAGTTCAATTAAAATAAAAGGCAAAGAAATGAAATTTTTCACTGGCGGTAGGACCTCTTGTGAGTCCGCACGGGTAGGTACCACCACCCCGCCTATTTCTGCCGTGAAGCCGTAATGCTTTTCGGTTTGAAGGGTGGGGTGGCCGTTGTAACTAGATACTGAGATACTGAGATCTTAGAACTTATATCTCAAGGTGGGTGGCGCATTTACGTTGTAGATGTCTATGGGCTCCAGTAACCACTTAACACCAGGTGGGCTGTGAGCTCGTCCACACATCTAAGCAATAAAAAAATTATTAAAAAAAATGAAAACATATCAGTGGCGTCTGCGTGTAATCTATATTAAAACAAATATTAAGGTTTTTTATGATACTGATAATTTATGATTATGATAATGAGGTTTTTTTGAATTGAGTTTTTTATTTCACTGCCAATCGTACGGATTGTTTTAGGGACTCCAAATTATCATGGCGTTTAGAGCAAGCCGTACTCTCTAAAACTGACCATAAATTATAATCCAGCGGATTAAGATCGGGACTAGACGACGGCCAGTCTTCAGCTCTGATGAAGTCCGAAACGTTCGTTTCCAACCACGACTGCGTAGACCGAGCTTTATGACCTGGCGCCGAGTCTTGCTGGAAGGACCATTCTTGATTATTGAACATGGTGTTGTTAAGGGGCTTCACTACCTTCTCAAGAATGGTATCTTGATACACTTGTGCCGATGTTTTGATACCTTTTTCACAAAAGTATGGCTCAGTCACTCCTTCATAAAAATACGGAGATTTTATTTGTTAAAATGTTGCTCAATTGTAAACATTTTCTCATCCGTAAACAAAAATTTTCCATGACCTCCCTTTGCGTACGTATTTATACCGCGGAGTAGTACCATATATATGAACGTTATATTTTTATACAATTTGCAGATGTTCCGGGTGAAGGCAACTCAAGATCGATAGCCTCCAGTACAGTTGAAAGTCGTATGTCAAAATCATATTTATATTATATTCACGTAGATATAAAATGAACTAGCTGCGATTATTTTTAGAACGAAGTTCCTTATGGGACGATGCGGAAGGGTACCCTAACCGGGAAAAAACGTCCGTAACGTAAGATTTTTATTAGTAATGCACACAGTGTACGACTTAACTTTGTAAATAATGTACAAAAAATAACATATTTTTTTATCTTTCATTGACCGCGATCTCAGAGCGTTCGTTTGCGCAATATACTAACTCTTATGCAAACAACCGTGAATGAAGTGTACCACAATAAGTTCGCACGTTACCGAATGACCGTGGGTTGTTGCGAAACCTCCAGTTTTATTTTCTTTATACCTCGAATAGAACTTAAAATTAATATTTTTATAATAAGGAACTTCGTTCCTATTCGGTGTCCACGACACCACACATCTTTTTTACCTAGTGCCAATAGCCTCAAGGGGCTACTCTGGCTTCACCGGATGTGTAGGCGAGACCACGGCGATCAGCCTAAAAGAATTTGCTAATACTAGCCCTAACAAGAACAGCTCTTCGCTGAATCTACCACCGTAAACTCAGTGGGTTGACTGCGATCGATAATTATCGGAACTTATAGATACAACGTGAACGGGATCAACATTCTTGAGACATGCGGTCGAATAATAATTTGGGTTGGAATTGAATTGCATAAGCTTGTTTCGCAATAACAATGGGCAGGAGAGTTCAGTGCTAGTAACACTGTGTGAATCGAATAGTACTTATATATTGTTCTTTTTGTAAACTTAATAAATATTTACTAACTTATTAAGAAAAAAAGCCGTATACAACACAGTCCATGCAGAGATCGAATAAAATAATGAACGAATCGCTTTCATGAACAACATTATTCACGGGCTTATTACCATCTGGTTCTAATGCAGTAATACTCAAATTGTATCATAATAGTACATGATTAGACTCAATATCGTTCGTTCATTCACAACAGTATTGAATAATGTTTTTCATTTCAGGAAACGGAGACAATAACATGGCACGCAGTATAGCACAATCCTGTAAGTTGAATCTTATAATTGCCATGTAATTACTTAAACAAAAAAAAAGTAAAATACGTCCTTTACCGCTATTTATTTTATGGATAAAACAAACTACTTTCAGATACGTCAGGTAATGGTCAAAATGGAAAAGCATCATCATTAGCATCTGCTGAAACGAGTAAGTGAAATTTATTTCTTTTTAGAATTCAATGGTTACAAGTTCAATTAAAATAAAAGGCAAAGAAATGAAATTTTTCACTGGCGGTAGGACCTCTTGTGAGTCCGCACGGGTAGGTACCACCACCCCGCCTATTTCTGCCGTGAAGCCGTAATGCTTTTCGGTTTGAAGGGTGGGGTGGCCGTTGTAACTAGATACTGAGATACTGAGATCTTAGAACTTATATCTCAAGGTGGGTGGCGCATTTACGTTGTAGATGTCTATGGGCTCCAGTAACCACTTAACACCNTATAAATAGCACGTATAGCTCTTTTCTGCAGAATAAATATCATTTCTACATCGGCCGCATTGCCCCATAGCAAAATGCCATAGGACATGACACTGTGGAAGTAACTAAAGTAAACTAAACGAGCCGTGTCCGCGTTTGTTAACATTCTAATTTTTTTTACTGCGTATGCTGCAGAGCTGAGCTTACTCGCCAATTTATGGATATGAGGTCCCCACTGCAGTTTGGAATCCACTGTTATACCAAGAAATACGGTTGACTCAACAATCTCCAATGATTCCTCAGAAACAATTACATCACTATCCACTTGTCTCACATTTAAAGATGGTTTAATACATTTTAAAGTAAATTTAATACATTTAGTTTTCTTACTATTCAATAATAGGTTATTGATACGGAACCAATGAACCACACACGAACGTTCATTCACAACAGTATTGAATAATGTTTTTCATTTCAGGAAACGGAGACAGTAACATTGCACGCAGTATAGCACAATCCTGTAAGTTAAATCTTATAATTGCCATGTAATTACTTAAACAAAAAAAAAGTAAAATACGTCCTTTACCGCTATTTATTTTATGGATAAAACTAACTACTTTCAGATACGTCAGGTAATGGTCAAAATGGAAAAGCATCATCATTAGCATCTGCTGAAACGAGTAAGTGAAATTTATTTCTTTTTAGAATTCAATGGTTACAAGTTCAATTAAAATAAAAGGCAGAGAAATGAAATTTTTCACTGGCGGTAGGACCTCTTGTGAGTCCGCACGGGTAGGTACCACCACCCCGCCTATTTCTGCCGTGAAGCCGTAATGCTTTTCGGTTTGAAGGGTGGGGTAGCCGTTGTAACTAGATACTGAGATACTGAGATCTTAGAACTTATATCTCAAGGTGGGTGGCGCATTTACGTTGTAGATGTCTATGGGCTCCAGTAACCACTTAACACCAGGTGGGCTGTGAGCTCGTCCACACATCTAAGCAATAAAGAAAATATTAAAAAAAATGAAAACATATCAGTGACGTTTGCGTGTAATCTATATTAAAACAAATATTAAGGTTTTTTATGATACTGATAATTTATGATTATGATAATGAGTTTTTTTACTTCTCATTCGCGTTAGAAAGACATCAGTAAATTAATCATTACATCTGCAGTGACGGCCAAGCAAAATTTTACTGTCTTTTATGTACTTTTCAATAACTTCCAAGGATGTTTGAAGCTGTAATTTTTATTTTTGTTAAATAAAGGAAACTCTGGAAGTGGAGGTCAGCAGGGTCAACAAGGTGGAACTCAACAAGGAGGTAATATAATAAGTCTACGAATTTTGCGAATATCCACTACTACCGGTGCTCATCAAATCAGTTTGCAGGAACTCTGAGTCGCATTTTTACCATAAATAATTAATTCCATCAAGTTTGAATAATTTGAGAGCCACTATTCAAATGTAGTTCTTCTTACTTCGACATATTTTCTTAACTTGTCTGGACATAGTTGTTTGCTTGGAAATGCATTACGTTACGAACGTCATATATAAAATATGTATATTCATTCCTAGATCTACCTGTAATTATTATTTGTGTTAAATATTGGATCCCCTGGTAATTGAGGTCAGCAGGGTCAACAAGGTGGAAATCAGCAAGGAGGTAATGTAATGAGGTTGCAAATTTTCCGAATTTCTACAACCACCAATGTTCATCATGAGTTTGCATCGGTTGGTAACTCTGAATCGCATTTCTTCCATACAGAAGTTATTTAATCTAGGTTGTAGAATTAATTAGCCTTCCTTCTGAGGTAGTTTTTGTTACTTATACATATTTTATTTACTAGTCTATACTAAGTGATCGCTTAGAAATGCACTTCATATCGCAGCCCTCACTCCTCCTATTAATAAAGTTTAATTACATTACAAACTTCATAAATAACACATTCCTAGACCTATCGTAGACCTAGCACCAAAACCCATCACTATGGTTTAAAATTTATCCTAGTGTAGTTTCTATACAATTTTCAAAAAATAATTGTAAACTAAATTGGCATTTTTATAATCCTAGCTATTTTTTCAAAGTTTTTATGAATTTTGCGAATGCCTCCGCTACATTAAACTCAAGATGACAGATTGACAAAAAATAATTAATTGTTTTCCTGTATCTCCATTGTCGCTTTCCTATTCTTACTCACAAACGAATTCGCAGTAGTGAAGTATACAGTCTCACTACATCTTGGGTGTAAAATTTATATTGCTGCTATGGCTTTTATTATTGTTTATTTTAAATAAAGGAACCCCTGGAAATGGAAGTCAGCAGGGTAAACAAGGTCAACAAGGTGGAAATCAACAAGGAGGTAATGTAATGAGTTTTAAAGTTTTGCGAATTTCCACAACCGCCCGTGCTGATTATGAGTTTACATCGGTGATAACTCTGAATCCCGTTTCTTACCAAACAGAAGTAATTCAGTCTAGTTTGTAGAATTAGTTAACTTTCCTTCCAAGGCAGTTTTTGATATTTATATATTTTTTCTTTAGTGGTCGACATTTAAGTGGTCACTTAAAAATGCACTTCATATTGCAGCCTTCACTCGTCCTATTAATAATGTTGGTAGTATAAGTATATTTTAATTACGTTACAAACGTCATAAATAATACACACCTAGACCTATCGTAGACCTGGCATATATATTTTTATAATCCTAGATACTTTTTAAAAGTTTTTTTTTTTTTCAAATAATTAGGTAATGAAATTTGTGAATGGCTCAACCTGCACAAAATTCAATATGGCAGAAGAGCTGTCAACTCACTTGATAAAAAATAGACTAATGGTTTTCTTCTATCTGTATTGTCGCTTTCCGTTTTTTACACTTATGTATATTTTTTTACAACCTACTTACTTTTTTCCTCGTTTAAAATATTATTTTTTTGCTTGTGAAATATGTTATAAAATTATTTATACTACTTCTGTGAATCTATCAACCAACAACTTTATCAAACTATTGTATTACTAAACAAATTATTTTGAGTCTAATTTATAAACTCGTGATTAAATTATCGCGAAAAGATACCATTATAAACACAGATCAGCTGATAGAGGCAAGTCTGGCTGTTCTTCAGTCTAGTATAATCAAAACTTCGAATACATTCCTCAAGATCGTTGATATCATGGCTCGCCGCTCATATTTAGTTTTTTTATTAACGACATTCCTCGGTCGCCGCCGACCCAGTTAGTCTTATTCGCCGACGACATGACCGTTTACTACTCGATTAGAAACAACTCCCTAATCGTGAGGAAACTCCAGAGCGCAGTCGTAACCTGAGGACAGTGGTTCCGAAAATGGCACATAGACATCAACCCAGCGAAAAGCAAAGCGGTGCTATTTCAAAGCGGAAACTCCACACGGATTCCCTCCCGGATTAGGAGGAGAAATCTCACACCCCCGATCTTCAGCCATACACTGGGCCAGGAAGGTCAAGTACCTGGGTGTCACCCTGGATACATCCATGTCATTCCACCTCCGTATAAAATCAGTCCGCGACCGTGCCGCGTTTCTTTACGGCAGGCTCTACCCCGTGATCTGTAAACGGAGTAAAATGTCCCTTCGGAACAAGGTGACACTTTACAATACTTGTATAAGGCCCGTCATGACTGACGCGAGTGTGGTGTTCACTCACGTGGCCCGCACACACATAGACACCCTCCAATCCCTACAATCCCGCTATTGCAGGCTAGCCGTCGGAGCTCCGTAGTTCGTGAGGAACGTTGACCTACACGACGACCTGGGCCACGAATCAATCCGGAAACACATGAAGTCAGCGGCGAACCGGTACTTCAATAAAGCTGTGTGTCATGATAGTCGCTTCATCGTTGCCGCCGCTGACTACTCCCCGACTCCTGCTCACGCAGGAGCCAGTCACCGTCGACGCCCTAGACACGTCTTTACGGATCCATCAGATCCAATAACCCTTGCATTAGACGCTTTTAGCTCTAACACTAGGATAGGGACTCCGGTAACTGTACTCGTGTAATTCGGCAAAGAGCTCGACGTGCAATCTAACCAAAACATCAGCCCGCTGAGTTTCTCGCCGGATCTTCTCAGCGGGTCGCGATTCCGATCCGGTAGTAGATTCATTCGCGAAGCAGCTACTCTTGAGTTGTTAGGTCTCCTTTGAAGTCGCGCGGGTAGTTCATCATCATCATCATCATCATCAACAGCCCACAGACGTCCACTGCTGGACATAGGCCTCTCCCAATCCACACCACTGAGCACGGTCTGCGGCTCTCCTCATCCACTTCTTGCCGGGTAGTTAGTTGTTAGCAAATTACAACCTTCCTGGCTGAGCCCGGTAAAACTGGAAAGGCCTCCGGGCCATCAGTAATCTCTCAAACATAATTTTTTTTATATCGTAGTGCCGGTAGAATTCTGTAAGAGTTTAAGACCGACAGTCTATTATTTCATCTACTCTTCGCTTCTATGTACTAATAAAATAATACTCAAAATGTATCATAGCAGTGCATGTTTAGACTCAATATCGGTCGTTCATGCACAACAGTATTAAATAATATTTTTCACTCCAGGAAACGGAAACAATAACATTGCAAGGAGTATAGCACAAGCCTGTAAGTTAAATCTTATAATTGCCATGTAATTACTTAAACAAAAAAAGTAATTAAAATACGTCCTATACCACAGTTTAATGGATAAAACTAACTACTTTCAGATACGTCAGGTAATGGTCAAAATGGAAAAGCATCATCATCAGCTTATGCTGAAACAAGTAAGTGATATTTGTTTCATTTTAGAATTCAGATTGGTTACAAGTTAATTTAAAATAAAAGGCAAGCAAATGAAAATATATCAGTGGCGACTGCGTATAATCTATATTACATCGAATTCAAACAAATCTCAATTTTACATAAAGCCCATCTTAATGTATTTGATCTTCACATATGAAATTTCCGTTTAGTATAAAGTGTGCTGGATACCAAGTTTCAAGTCAATCGGATGCATGGTTCAGTAATTATAACAGAACATCCGTAAAAACCACTGTAGATTTATATATTAGTATAGATTTATTTATATCAATCAAAATATGCACCTATGTGTTGATGCGTCTCTGACAGCGATGCAGCGTTTCTTCAGTTTTCTTCGTCACGACGTCAGGTGTTCGCAAGCCGACAAACTCTCTTAAGTCATTTTGTGCTGCCTCTCAGGTCTTAATATTATTCACTGCCAAGAAGCTTCCTAAATTTTGGCAAAAGTATAATTCTATTGGCGCAAGGTCTAGTGGGTACGGTAGATGACGAAAAAATTTGCACAGAGACTGTCTGTTGTGACGTAAGAGGTCGAGAATTGTAGTGTAGGAGCAGCTGGAATAAGCGGTTGACTAAGGCTAACCGGAGATTCGCGAATCATTCTCCATTATGGCACAATAGTGTCCAGTTCCTCACAGTATACATCCGCAGTAATGATGGTGCCATTAGATAAAAAGCTGTAATGAATTACAGTTCAAAAGTAGCGATAACAAAACACTAATCAATGAAGTAATTAATGACTGATTAGAATTCTAACTCTTTATCTTTAAGCTTTCCCAAGCTTAGAGGGGCGTAATGTCATCATGTGTAGTTTAAAATAAAAATATTTTTGTAAACCTGGTGATCTTTACCTAGTTTACGTTCCCAAACATTTTTTTTATTAATTAAGCAGTTAAAACTACTGAAGAACCAGGTATGGTTGTAGATAGATAGATTGTATGCATGTTTATAGAAAATAATAAAAATTAACAACAAAATTATAAAAAGAAAAAAGTGATGTCATAATTTACAGTTACAAAAGATAAAACTTAAACAAAAAACTATGTAAAAAAAACATCAGTGAGTTAATCTTATCATCTACAGTAACGACCAAGCAAAATTTTACTGTTTTTTATGTACTTTTCAATAAATTTCAACGATGTTTGAAGCTGTAATTATTATTTTGGTTAAATAAAGGAACCTCTGGAAATGGAGGTCAGCAGGGTCAACAAGGTGGAAATCAACAAGGAGGTAATGTAATAAGTTTTAAATATTTTAGATTACATAATTAGATAAATAATAAGATATTTAAATAATTAGATAATGAATATTGTGAATGGTGTTGCTACACTATATTGATTAACATTAATATTTGTGTTAAATAAAGACTCCCCTGGAAAAGGAGGTCAGCAAGGTCAACAAAGTCAACAAGACCAACAAGGAGGTAATGTAATAAGTTTTAAATATTTTAGATTACATAATTAGATAAATAATAAGATATTTAAATAATTAGATAATGAATATTGTGAATGGTGTTGCTACACTATATTGATTAACATTAATATTTGTGTTAAATAAAGACTCCCCTGGAAAAGGAGGTCAGCAAGGTCAACAAAGTCAACAAGACCAACAAGGAGGTAATGTAATAAGTTTTAAATATTTTAGATTACATAATTAGATAAATAATAAGATATTTAAATAATTAGATAATGAATATTGTGAATGGTGTTGCTACACTATATTGATTAACATTAATATTTGTGTTAAATAAAGACTCCCCTGGAAAAGGAGGTCAGCAAGGTCAACAAAGTCAACAAGACCAACAAGGAGGTAATGTAATAAGTTTTAAATATTTTAGATTACATAATTAGATAAATAATAAGATATTTAAATAATTAGATAATGAATATTGTGAATGGTGNACAATAACATTGCACGCAGTATAGCACAATCCTGTAAGTTAAATCTTATAATTGCCATGTAATTACTTAAACAAAAAAAGTAATTAAAATACGTCCTTTACCGCAGTTTTATGGATAAAACTAACTACTTTCAGATACGTCAGGTAATGGTCAAAATGGAAAAGCATCATCATCAGCTTATGCTGAAACAAGTAAGTGATATTTGTTTCATCTTAGAATTCAGATTGGTTACAAGTTAATTTAAAATAAAAGGCAAGCAAATGAAAATATATCAGTGGCGACTACGTATAATCTATATTACATCGAATTCAAACAAATCTCAATTTTACATAAAGCCCATCTTAATGTATTTGATCTTCACATATGAAAGGAGAAACCCCATTTTGGGCCTAAGCGTTACACGAATGGGATATGTACCAAAAAATTCGTCTATTTTGCTTGATTAACCTATTGAAATCTTAGCTTCATTGACAATGGCCAAGTGTAGAAAATAAGTTAAATTCAATTTTTTTGTTTTAAACAATCTTTGTAAACATCTGCAACACTTATTTCAATATACGTAACTAGCTCCACAAACGTGCGTGCGTTAATACTCTTTTGCTTTAGGATAAATGAGTCGACTATTATCAAAGCCGGCAATGTGACTTTTGGACAATTATTGGTAAATCAGAAAAACGAATTATTGACTTTGTATTCCATTGGCAGTCACAAAACTCTTCTGAACGACATCTTAGATAAATAACAGGTTAAGTTAATACTTTATTTAATGCAGGTTTTGAACCGTATTCTTTGAAGGAGACGATTATATTCAAATCAATCTGTATTGACATATCAATAACNGCTTATACATATTTTCTTTACTGGTCGACACTTAAGTGGTCGTTTAAAAATGCACTTCATATCGCAGCCGTCACTTGCCCTATTAATAATGTTGGTACATAGTATAAGTACATTTTAATTACGTTACAAACGTCATAAATAATATACACACATTCCTAGACCTATCGTAGACCTGGCACCGTAATCCATCACTATGGTATAAAATTTATCTTAAGGTAGTTTATATACAATTTAAAAAAGTCTTAACTAAATAGCTATTTTTATAAACTAGGTTTATATTTAGTTATTAATTATTTCTTAAAAGTTTTTTCAATTAGATAGTGAAATTTGTGAATGATTCAACCCACATAAAATTCAAGATGACAGAAGAGCTGTCAACTCGCTTGCCAAAAAATAGATTAATTGTTTTCTTGTATTTAATTTTGTATTGTCGCTTTCCAAACGCATCACAAACGAACTAGCAGTATGCAATCTCGACACGTCTTGCGTGTAATATTTGAATAGCTGCAATTATAATTTGTGTTAAATAAAGGAACCCCTGGTGAATTTTCGCATTTACAGGTGCTTATATAGAGTATACATCGATTCATAACTCTGAGCTGCATTTTTAACATTAAGAAGTCATTCTGTCTGGTTTATAGAATTAATTAGACTTCATTCCAATATAGTTATTGTTACTTTCACTTTTTTTTACTCGTCTAGAGTTAAGTGGTCGCTTGATAATGCATTTCATATCGAAGCCGTCAGTCGTACTATTCATAATATTGGTACCTACTATTCGTACATTTTAACCCATTACGTAAGGAACGTACAAAATAAAAGTATAAACCTTAACATTAAACACTCATAAATGTTTTTTTTCTTTCTTCTACGGATTCAACGGATATAGGGCAAACAGGTGACTCAGGTGATGATACTGTGGGGTCAAGCAAAAGGAGATCCATGCCCTACGATTCATCTGGTAAATTTTATTAATGTTACATAAGCAGATACTTACGTTTTTTTTTTCCTACCTAAGCTGATACCCTTGAGAGGCTATTTCAGCGTAACCTTAACAAGTAGGTGAGCTCACGGGGCTTAAACCAGAGTGATGCTAACACTGGCCCTAGCAAGAGCAGTGCTTCGCAGAATCTACCACCGGATCGGAAACGCGACCCACTGAGAAGATCCAGCGAGAAACTCAGTGGGCTGTGTCTATGGGTTAATTCGCTCGTCGAGCCCTTCGTCGCAAGCGACGAGTTCGACGAGGACTGTGACCGGTGCTTGTGGTGTACTTATGTTAAATATTACCACTTATGTTATACTACTTATGCTAATGAGCGGCGACAGAACAGCTACACATTAAAAAACTGGAAACACTGACCGAGTCGAAGCAAAGCTTTGTCTCGTGCTATTTTTAAATAGCGAGTGTGTTTTGAATATATAAATCCACATTACTCAGTACAACGCGAAGTATAACAAAATATAGTCTATGTTGTTGAAAAATAAGTTGAAAAGTAAAGTTGAAAAATAAGTTGAAGATACTATTAGCTTTGAAAAGGCTACCCAACGGCAACAATATTTTTTTTATTAATTTTTTTTTGCTTAGTTGAGTGGACGAGCTCACAGTCCACCTGGTGTTAAGTGGTTACTGGAGCCCATAGACATCTACAACATAAATGCGCCACACACCTTGAGATATAAACCTTCAAACCCTTCAAACCGAAACGCATTACTGCTTCACGGTAAAAATAGGTGGGATGTTGGTACTTACCCGTGTGGACTCACAAGAGGTCCTACCACCAGTAACAGTAAGTATTTCAGTATTATGAGACCTAAATTTTGGGCATGCTGTAAGTACAAACTATCTGTAGGTGCCTACTTCTGCCGCAGAGCAATAATGCTTTCGGGATTGAGGGGTTAAGCCGTTACTCAATATAATTAAAACTTCGGTCTTGTGCGGTGGGTTGTGCATTAGCGTCGTTAGTATTATGGACTGCGATGACCACCGGTGACACATTTCACCAGTTGCGCCGTGAGATCGCTTACCTTATCTACCGATATATTATACAATAATAAATAAAAATACCACTCTTGATTAAAAACGATTATAAATCTTTGACGTCTTGTTGCTTTGGGGATATGTGGTACCAATATAGACTTAACTTAAACTTAAGATATGAAGTTGAAGTCGAACTGCATTTAAGTGACAACACGCCCTGCCACGTAGTAAACTAACTGCACCCCAACAAGTAGTATCCTTTTAAAACATAATAATCAAAGAAGATAAATAAAAAAATAAGATTACTAATTAATTCCATTTTTTCATTCATGAAAAGGTGAGAATTTTGCTGCCGCATATGCTAAGTCCGGTAAGTTGAACTTAGGTTTAGAGTAACTGTAAGTCACGCGATTTAAAAAAGGAAATATAAGTCCATTCAGATACACAGTGCAAAACAAAGTACCATAGATTATTTTATCACAATCAATACAGGGTATGTACATAATAGTAATATAATAGTTCCCGAAACTGACAAAGCAAATAAATAAAATACCCCAATAATATAACGAAACATGAATTTACAAATTGATCATCAATAATGGCGATTTAGTGTTAGTGTATATGAAGTTTTTAAAACCGGAATGTATAGATACGTACGCGAGGGTAGTTGTTGGACGTCACCTGTCTTCGCTTGAGACTGAACCGCTCATGTGTGTATTCATTTTTTAAATGTGGTTCATTGCGGGAGATGCATAAGTGTTAGTGATGTTTCAATCGCTATATTCTCAAAATTATTTTTTTTATCTGAGAAATCTTCAAGACATCTATACTAATATTATAAAGAGGAAAGATTTGTTTGTTTGTTTGTTTCGAATAGGCTCCGAAACTACTGGACCGATTTGAAAAATTCTTTTTCCATTAGAAGCCGACATTGTCCCTGATGAACATAGGCTACTTTTTTTATTTTATTTTTTTGGTTTCATGTGTGTTTTAATGTTTCCGAAGCGAAGCGAGGGCGGGTCGCTAGTTCCTTTATAATATTACATTTATTTTATACAGTAGGTATTTTATATTATACAGTAGGTTAATGACCCCAAAATTTAAAGTATGAGCCTAAATACACATATCTTTAAATTAGAAATGATCTTAGACTACTAGTACGGCAATTTTTATTTATATTTAACGTATAATGTAATCCTGGAGTGAAAACAATCTTAGCGGTGCTAGCTTAGCTTAACTTAGCTTAGCTCATAATACCACCAGCTTAAATTATCTGTGGCCTCATATTCGCATTGAGTGATCTGACTCTTCTGAGTCGCAATTAGTACCATATTTTCCAAATTTTACAATCCAGATTTGAGCTCATGTTTTAAGATAGGTGGTCGCATTCACGATTTGTCTACGGGCCCCGGTGTAGCACTTAACTATAAGTGGGCCGTGACCTTCATCACTCACCTATGCAATAAACATAAAGCTTCTAGGGTACATTGTGAGCCCGCACGCAAATGACCGACCAACCTATCTATTTATACCGCGGAGTAGTACCATATATATGAACGTTATATTTTTATACAATTTGCAGATGTTTCGGGTGAAGGCAACTCAAGATCGATAGCCTCCAGTACAGTTGAAAGTCGTATGTCAAAATCATATATAAATAGTATTACATAGATAAGAAATGAACTAGCTGCGATAATTTTTACAATATAGACGCTACTCTGGCTTCACCGGATGTGTGAGCGAGACCACGGCGATCAGCCTGAAAGAATTTGCTAATATTAGGTCCTTACATAATAATATGAAATTGCCGTTTTGTACGGGAGGAATATAAAGTTTTTTTTTTATATGTTATATAATCAAAGTATGCACCGTTGTTATCTATGCACTTTTGCCATCTCATAGGTAGTTAGTGCATTGATCCCTTTACTAAAAAAAACCATGGGAGCGAGAATCAATAAGCTCTTTGAAGGTGATTTGGGCTGTCGTATCAGAGTTGAATTTTTTTCCCTGTTAGAAGTTGTCCAAATTCCGGAAAAAATGGATAGAAATCTGTTGGAGCAACGTACGGCGGATGTCGCAGATATTCCAATTGCAACTCATCCAACTTATTGTTGTGCAGTGTGTGGTCTTGCGTTGTCATAAAGCAGCAGTGGCCTAGAGCGATTGACCAATCTCGGTTGCTTAGCAGCTAGTTCTTCCTTCATGGTTTGCAGTTCCTGACAATAGATATCTGCCGTCATCGTTTGGCCAGGTTTTAGAAAGCTGTAGTGAATGACACCGGCGCTAGTCCACCAAACACTCGCAAGTAAATTTTTCTAGTCAATTTTCGTTTAGGGTAGGATTTGGCTGGGTCTCCAGGATTCAGCCATTGCGACGAACGCTTCGATTATCGTAGAGTATCCACTTTTTATCACAAGTAATGATTCGATTTAAAATCCCTTCATTATTGTATCGGTTGAGCAAAGTTGAGCACAGCAGTCGACGCGTGTTTGCAAGTCCGATTACCTCAATTCATGAGGTACTCATCGTTCTAGTTTTATTACTCTCCCGATTTGATTCAAGTGGATTAATACAGCTTTATCACTTAACCCGAAGCCTGCAGCTATCTCTGAAGTGCTTTGTTTTTGGATCCGCTTCCACGATAGCCTTTACTTCATTTTCCACTTTGGTCTCCGGCCGTCCACGGGATTGGTTCTGAAGGTCGACATTTCCAGAACGAAAACGTTGAAACCAGAAACGTAGCGTGCTTTCTTTTGCGACACCTGCGCCGTACACATCATTAATCCTTCAAACTGTTTCTGCAGCACTGGTACCACAGTAGAACTCGTACTCGTAAATATTCCGATATTTCATGTTTTCCATTGTGCGGTAATAAGCGACGCCAAAGAAAAAAAAATGAGAAAAAAACAATTGAATGACTGATATCAAAACTCAAATGTACCAGCTAAATGAATTTATAAATTTAAATTTGTAATTCTTAACCAAAGAGGAGATGTTTCAAAGCAAAGTGGTCAGTACGACATAACCAGCCCTAACAAGAGCAGTGCTACGCTGAATCTACCACCGTAAGCTCAGTGGGTTGACTGCAATGGATAATTAGCGGAACTTATAGATACAACGTGAATGGGATCAACATCCTTGAGAAATGCGGTCAAACAATAATTTGTCTTGGAATTAAATTGAATAAGATTGTTTCGCAATAACAATGAGCAGGAGAGCACTGTGCTAGTAACACTGTATAGAATAATACTAATGTATTGTTCTTTTTGTAAACTTAATAACTATGTACTAACCTATTAAGAAAAGAGGTGCTGGAGAAAAATGCTGCAAATATCGTGGATGGAGTTCAGAACGAATCAGTCAATTCTACAGGAACTTGGCATCAAGCAGCGACTATCCTCCATCGTTCAGGGTCGCATTCTCACTTTCTTCGGACATGTGTCGCGGCGGGGTGACGGCTCATTTGAGCGCCTTGCAGTGCAGGGCATGATAGAGGGTACAAGACCGCGCGGCAGATGACCGTTACGATGGACCGACCAAACAAAGGCAACTCTAAACGGTACCGAAAACGAGTGCACAAGAAGGGCCGCGGTACGCAAGGAATGGCGACGTCTGGTGAAGCGCACCACCACCCGAAGTGATGACCACGACCACTCTGCCAAGAGTGCATGCGACTGAGAAGAAGAATTAAGAAAAAAGCCGTATACAACAAAGTTTATGCAGAGATCGTACAAACTAAAGAACGAATCGCTTTCACGACACAAAATTATTCACGGGTTTATTACCATCTGGTTCTATTAGGAAAAATACACTCTCCACATTTATGTATATTTTTTTACAACCTAGTTACTTTTTTCCTCGATTAAAGTAGTTAGCCATTTATACTATCGCTTTGAACCTATCAATCGACAACGTTATCAAGGCTAGGTTGGCTGTTAGTCTAGTACAATCAAAACTTTGAATACATTCCTCAAGATCGTTGACATCGTGATGCCGGTGGAATTAGCTTAAGACCGACAGTCTATTAGCTCAACTGCTCTTCGCGAAGTACTACACAATATGTCTCATAGCAGTTACATGATTAGATTCAATATCGTTCGTTCATTCACAACAGTATTGAATAATATTTTTCATTTCAGGAAACGGAGACAATAACATTGCACGCAGTATAGCACAATCCTGTAAGTTAAATCTTATAATTGCCATGTAATTACTTAAACAAAAAAAGTAATTAAAATACGTCCTTTACCGCAGTTTTATGGATAAAACTAACTACTTTCAGATACGTCAGGTAATGGTCAAAATGGAAAAGCATCATCATCAGCTTATGCTGAAACAAGTAAGTGATATTTGTTTCNAATATCGTTTTTATTAAAATATCTCGAACAATAAACATAACCTAAAATGTAAACATTGTCTGATTTTACCAATTTGGCCATTGCTGGGAGACCTGAAAATTGGGCTCATGAAACCTTCTTAGGTATTGTAACTTATGCCCAAATTCTAGCACTGTAACGCCAGGCCCAAGTTTGTATGGATTTCGGGTTTGTCCTTTCCGTTTAGTATAAAGTGTGCTGGATACCAAGTTTCAAGTCAATCGGATTCATGGTTCAGTAATTATAACAGAACATCCGTAAAAACCACTGTAGATTTATATATTAGTATAGATTTATTTATATCAATCAAAATATGCACCTATGTGTTGATGCGTCTCTGACAGCGATGCAGCGTTTCTTCAGTTTTCTTCGTGGTTGCGCTGGTTTAAAACTTAGTTAGTTTTAGGTTTCGAAAAATAGCAACATTTTAATTTGGTTTGCAAATCCTGTCCCATCCCTTTCCGGCACTTTACCTACAGACGCGTGCGAGCGAGATCGTGTGGTGACATCGAGACGAAAAAATATGGTTGAACAACCGCGCGCGCGCTTCGTGTCTTTGTTATGTTAAATACGTAAATAAGTGAAATCGTTGGTGTTTCTCATCGCGAAGTGGTACGAGTCTGCAGCAAGGACTACATAAAGGTATTGTGCATCCTTCCTTTAACGCAGAACTGCCGCTTCTTATCGNATGCTCATTATGAGTTTGCATCGGTTGATAACTCTGAGTCGCGTTCATTCCAAACAAAAGCTATTCAGTCTAGTTTGTAGAATTAGTTAGCCTTCCTTTCAAGGCAGTTTTTGGTGCTTATACATATTTTCTTTACTGGTCGACACTTAAGTGGTCGCTTAAAAATGCACTTCATATCGCAGCCGTCACTTGCCCTATTGATAATGTCTTTACGCTATACATATTATAATAATATATAAAACACATATATATAAATGCAAGGGATACAGTGAACAAATAAAGACTTTGGCAATTTTGAAGACTTAAATCAAATATAAAAAACTTCAGAGGTGTCAAGGGACACCCGGATGGAACGAAGTTCCTTTCGATTAATTAGTGAAGGAATTGTAATTTTTTTTTTAAATATAATTTTTCGTAAGAATTTATAGCAAAAAGTGTCGTGACAACTTTTCGTAAGAATTTATAGCAAAAAGTGTCGTGACAACTTTTCGTAAGAATTTATAGCAAAAATTGTCGTGACAACTTTTCGTAAGAATTTATAGCAAAAAGTGTCGTGACAACTATTCGTAAGAATTTTTCCGTCTAGCCCCCTTTCACAACGCGCGATAAGGAACTTCGTTCCAATAATCCACACATTGGCTTGGCAAGCAATTTTTCTAAGAAAATAATAAAAATCTTGCTGCGCTCTAGCTTATTACAAAAATATAAACTATAGTGTAATTGTTATATTTCTAGGAAATGGAAATCAACCGGGGGGCTCAGGTTCTGGTATTGTTTGCCATCCTGATACAAGCAGCCAGCCAGGCTCCGCACAAAAGCAAGCTAGTGCTATTAATTTAGTCATTTACGAAAAACGCATCTTGAAATATTTAGAAAGGTACTTAAAACAAAAGAAAAAGCTACCTGCATGGATCGCATATTACAGTCCTTTAGCTAGAGGTAAAGATTTTCTGACAATTAATACTATGATAAGCTTTGATACAGTTCAACTAATAATTTGTATTAGAAGATGGGGAAACTTCAGCCGCGTATTAATTTACCAACTTACCGCTGATATATTTCTTAACACGTTGTAAATACTTTATTTGGTCAGTCAGTTTGCATATAAATTGACAGTATGGAAAACTCAATTCAAGTGAAAATGGTGATCATAGAGCGTTATGACACGATACTACTACTTGTTCTGCCTATTTCTGTCTATGGACCGGACCTCATGTTTGACGATATGCGTGGAATTCAAGTAAAAGTTTCATCAAACACGCAGATCAATGTCGTTACTGTTTGTTATTGTTAAAGTGGACACATTTGCCTTATTTCACAAAAACGTTAATAAAAGATACGTTGCGTAATGGATGTTGAGTAATGGATACTTTTTGATTTGCCCTAAAGGTCACAGAGGCGGTCATAACAAACATAAGTCACTCTATCCTAAGCTCTGTCTTTGCAAAAATCAAAGTCAAAGGGATACCGTCATTTTTCCGGTATGTATTTTGTTTTCTGAACATTTTGGTTTAATAAATTCTTAAACTTATTATTCTTGCTGGTAGTACCTCTTGTAAGTTCGCGCGTGTAGGTACCACCACCCTGCCTATTTCTGGCGTGAAGCAGTAATGCGTTTCGGTCTGAAGGGTGGGGCAGCCGTTGTAACTATACTGAGACCTTAGAACTCATATCACGAGGTAGGTGGCGTAGGAGCCTGTAGCTGTCTATGGGCTCCGGTAACCGCTTAACACCAGGAGGGCCGTGAGCTCGTCCACCCAGACAAGCAATAAAAAAAATCCTATGATTAAAAATTTTATTGAGATTATGAATGCGTTTAAGGTGAGCCTAAAACGCATTAGTGTTTATCCACTTATTTATAGCTTGTATTTTTTTTTGTGTTTCATAAGCTACTTTATTGGGTTAACAATTTAAAACTTCTTTTAGATATTGTCAAACTAATGGCGAACTCCCAAGGTCAAGACAGCGAAGAAAAAGTGTAGTTTATAAATAGTTTTTTCATTTTGAGGTGGAGGGTAGTTTTTAGGGAAGCTTTGATCCAACGAACTTGGCAATGAAAATGGACTTCGAGATTTTTAGAAACTGTTGTATTTTTCAATTTTAAATTGGTGGTGGGATTATTCAATTAAATATATTATTGAGCAAGCATAACTGTGACTTTATTTAAAACCTAATAAAACGTTTTCCTTTATTCAGTAGAAGATAAGATAGACAACCCTAATAAATAACTCCTAATGCACAAACAAATATATGTTAAAAATGTAAAAACAACATTAGCCTGCTAATTACTTATTTATTTACAGTTAAAACACAAAAAGTGATTTAAACTTTCTAGACTAAATAGGCATACAGGAAACATTTTAAGCTTATAACAAATTTCCATTTTTCTCATGTATTACTGACGCGCTTTGAGGGCACACCGCTGTGCCTTTTTCATTAGAATAACAGATTCAGTCAGAATTTCACTATGCCGAATACAAAGAAAGGAGATGATAGGCTATATTCGATACGAAATTTAATTTAAAACAGCCCCTTTGTAACATAATAGTTGGTCATGGTAGGTTTTTTGTTCTGAATAATATTGTGTATAATATTGTAATATTCTTTTAAAAAGTCTTAGGTGAAGAAAAACAGTATTCCTTTCATAAAATTAAGATTTATCAGTCATTATTTTGCGTCGTCGTGGCCTAAAGGATAAGACACCTGATGCATTCATATCGAGCGATACCACTGGGCCAATATGTGTAAAGTGATCACCCTGCCAATGAAAACTACAGATCAATTAAAGATTACTGCCGTACCTTGTCATGGCCTAAAGTATAGGACGCCCGGTGAACTCGTATCAAGCGTTGCGATTATCCCAGTGTTAAAATCGTGCAAGCAGGTACCAGTTTTTACAAAGATACGTCGTGCCTAATTAATTAAAATTAACAAACGACTTTCACGATTAAGAAGTGGCATCGTATTATAAAAATAAAAGAAAATTATTTGTAATATTGGGATTTTTTTTGTGTTAAATTCACATAGGTAACACTTAGGCTACATAGGTCCACTTCTCGGTGAGCTGGCTGTGTCAAACCACATGCACCTTCGCGAACAATCCAGCAAATAATATTGTCATCCTAGTTCTAGTCTTCTTTTGAAATTCTTCTTCTTCTCAATCGTGTCACTCTTGACAGAGTGGTGACGTGATCGTCATATAGTGTTGTCATGTAGTCTTGAACTACGAGTATACATTACGTGTCATTCTCAACGATGTGTTACACACCCCTCGTTGGTGTCTAAATCGACAAATTGATAGGTGTAGGAGATGGTCAAAGTCCGTCCTGCTTCTGCCTTATGCCAAATAAGGCAGAAGCAGGACTCAGGACGCAGGAAGCAGGACAGGACAAGAGGAAGCGGATATATTAAATTAATTTGCAATTTAACAGCGCCCGACTTGATGGCCAGGACTTTAATCTCTATCTAAGCTTTAGACGAGGAAAAGAATACGACTGAAGATATCTGAAACGTTCCTTGTCCGAAATATCTAAATCACTCTGTTTGTTTAATAGGAGCCCTTGAACAAAGGACCAAGCTCTTGACAAGACAAAACATATCTTGTTCTCCTCGAAACTCCAATCTTGAATTAATTTCCGTGCGTATTTGCATTGGCTTCACTACCCAAATTAAGATACTAATGGTAAAGCAAAAATTATGGCTGCGAAGTGCTTAATCTGTCAACCCCTTTAATGTACCTAAACAGATATTCTTCGAAGCTCCTGGTAGAATATTCAAGAATTCATAATTACAAAGAACTGTATCAACAATTACCAATCACTTACCATTAGATCGTTGAATTTTATACAAATTAGTCTTAAAAGAAATCTATTACCAAATATTATGGACACCCCAGGCAAGGTAACATTTCGTTTATATGAGAAAAAGATGCATAAGATTCGCTTTGAATGGCTGCTCACTACATCGAGGGGGCGGTAAATTGAATTTTTCACATCTTATATGATAGACCATCTGTTGAAAAACCTAAAACTTCCATTAAAATAAGAACTTCTAACTTGCAGTCATTTTGTTGAGACTACATAATTTATTACCAAAACCGAATCAGAGGATCCTAATGATAATAGCATCTCCAGCTATAAATCAAAAGAGATGAATAGGCGATCGCGGCTTTCTCGAGCTCTTGCAACCACATCCCTATGATCCCTCCGCAGTAGAGTTATCTTGACCTATACTCAATCTAAACTTCTAATACCTAACTTCCGTAATTTCTATCTTTGGTGCAGGTAATGGATCATATAACACCGCACAGATGCGTACCAACACTGTTTCCATAATGTAGGTATTGTAGCACATAGATTCGGAATAAAGACTTTATAACAATTTAACTGAGATTTCGGTTTTCAATTTGTGATGTTTGAAAACTTCTACAGCTAGGTCCTCCTTGCATCGTTCTCCTCATTACTGAGGGTCGAGCTCCCTCGTTGTATCAATCACTCTTGTACGATTGTTCTCCATTGGGACATTTTTTCTTTTGTTTATAATCCGATTGTAAACCGATCATCATCATCATTCCCCTGTCCTTCTCCCAGTTACCTGGGGTCGGCGCAACATGTTTTTTCCTTCCACACTCTTCTATCACATACCATTTCTTCGCTCACTCTCCTCTTACCCATATCGTCTTTCACGCAATCCATCCATTTCTTCTTAGGTCTACCTCTTCCTCTATATCCTTCCACATTCATAGTTAACATTTTCTTACCAACCTCATTTTCATTTCGTCTCATCACATGTCCATACCATCCCAAATGCGCACTTCTCGGCTTCTCTGTAATCGATTGTAAACCGATATCAGTTCATTTTTAGTTAGTAGCAGCTTGCGCGAACTTACGATCACATGGTTCGGTTTTTTGAGTAGATCTTATGTAGTTTTTTTTTGTGTTGCTTAGATAGTTAGACGAGCTCACAACCCACCTAGTGTTAAGTGTTTAGCCCAAATATATCCACAACGTAAATGCCAACATGAGTTCTAAGGTCTCAGTTTTAACACCTAACGCCGCATTACTGCTTCACGGCAAAAGTAGGCAAGGTAATGTTATCTATCCGTGCGGACTCACAAGACGTCCTACGACCAGTAATTCCGCAAATTATAATTTTGCGAATTTGGTTTTTATAATTCGACTAGCCGTACTCGCCCGCTTCGCTGGGCATTTAAAATTAACATTATTATTTATTTTCATTATTATTAAGGAGTCCAACACTCATATAAATATTAGCCTATCCATTAATTACATGTATTTTCTACATACTTAGTCTGGCCATAAATACTGTACAAAGGAAAACAAAAAAATTCTATGGCAAATAACATTTATTACTTTTACAGTGTGTTAGTTTAATGCATAAATATAAAACAATTTAAAGTATAAAAAGCTTATTCGAAGTGGTCTCCATTGGCTGCACTATAGTCCTTTAAACGTTGAGGCCAGTTATCAATAGAAGCACGCACTCTTTCCATGGGAAAATTTTTCACTGCCAATCGTACGGATTGTTTTAGGGACTCCAAATTATCATGGCGTTTAGAGCAAGCCGTACTCTCTAAAACTGACCATAAATTAACATAATAATCCAGCGGATTAAGATCGGGACTAGACGACGGCCAGTCTTCAGCTCTGATGAAGTCCGAAACGTTCGTTTCCAATCACGACTGCGTAGACCGAGCTTTATGACCTGGCGCCGAGTCTTGCTGGAAGGACCATTCTTGATTATTGAACATGGTGTTGTTAAGGGGCTTCACTACCTTCTCAAGAATGGTATCTTGATACACTTGTGCCGATGTTTTGATACCTTTTTCACAAAAGTATGGCTCAGTCACTCCTTCATAGCTAATACCCCACCAAACCATCACTGAAGTCGGATAGTGCCCACGTTGCACTCTGTCGACTAATTGGGAAGCTTCCTTAGAGCTTTGAGCATAAATACGGTCATTTTGTTTGTTAAAATGTTGCTCAATTGTAAAAAATTTCTCATCCGTAAACAAAATTTTTCTATGACCTCCCTTTGCGTACCGCTTCAGTAGTTGTTTCGATTTTACCACCCTATTCTCTTTTAAATTATCAGTTAAGAAATGACCAGTACGTCTCTTATAGGCTGCAAGTCCTAAGTCATCTTTTAAAATACGCGACATGGTTCTAGGTGCTATCTTCATCTCCCGAGATAAAATCTTTTGCTTTCGGACAGGATTTCTTCGAATTCTTTCCCTTACTGCTTTGACCACCTTTTTCGTACGAACACTACGTGGACGGCCAGATCTTTTTCTGTCACAAACAGAGGAGGTCTCATTGCACCTATTAATAGCCCGGTACACAAACATTTCACTAATACCAAGCGTATGGAGAGTTTTAAAAATTGCATTTGGCTCCATACCTACTTTGTGTAATGCAATCACAGCGATTCGGTTCTCTTTATCACCCCACTCCATTTTAATATCGCAAAATATTGTACAATGTATTGGCGCCAAAATGAGAAAACTCAATGAGCAATCATATAAAAATGACAGATTCCAAATTCAAATGTAATATTTTGTTTATTTTTAATTGTAACAGTATTTATGGCCAGACTAAGTAGATACCAAGTTTCAAGTCAATCGGATGCATGGCTCAGTAGTTATAACGGAAAATCCTTAAAAATCACCGTAGATTTATATATTAGCATAGAAGTATAGATGTTATTCCAAGTGCCAATTCCATGGAAGTCAATCGTGAACATTTGTAAAATAAGTGTTTCATATGAAAAATCAGTATCTGCCTGCGGTATCGGAATACAGTTGCATCGCTTGATAAGAATTCACCGGGCATTTTCATTAATTATAATATTTCTAAGATAAGGGTTACAAATAAACCGTGCGCGAATCTGTCCAGAATTATCCTTGTAGAACGAATACTTCAGTTTCTGTGGCGACTCGGTCGCCTTTCTTCACCTCTTGACAAATCTCGGAGACGTGATCTCGGTTATCGCAAAACACATTGCATTTCGCGATTATGCATACGTATAACATATGATTACTTATTTACTCATTACATGTATAAAATAGTATTCAATTCTATAAGCAGATTTTTTAGCGATTATATTTTTCACCTAATTATGGCGGTACCTAATTTTACATTTGTTACAAAATTTTATATTATACAGCGGTCACAAATAGGATTTATAGGTAGGTAAGCTGTTTGCAAAGTTGTAACTAGATGGCGTTACCAATAGCGCTTTAGTGTTTACCTGTTTACTTTTTGGAACCAATGAACTTTTTTCTGAAGTTAAACATCTTTAGGCGCGTTATGAAAAATTGATGAGAGTGAAATTTTACGATGCGCACGCACCGTGACACAAAATTAACAGAATGAAGTTGCCCACTAAATCGCTCATTACAATACGACCGACGTAACTTGGCGAGTCTGAATATAGCCGCAGGGGAACTTTCCGAACCGTACCGAGAATTGCCGAATTTATACGATGTCAAGAAAAGGGATGTCCATTAAGCGTGTTTGAGGATGTTGTTTAGTCGACTTTTTCAAATTGATTATTAAAATTTAAATATTTTTCTAAGATGGGCGAAGGAGCTCACGGTCCACCTAGTGTTAAGTGGTCACCGGAGCCCACAAATCAAATCAAACTTTTTCACTACAACGGGTGCTCTACTCTTCAAACCAAAAGGCATTATTACTTTACGTCAGAGACAGACAGTGTAGTGGTACTTACCACCAGAAATAAACAAAGTTTTTTTTTTTTTTAAATCAAAGATATTGGCACCGTGCATGTTGACAAACAGCAGACTTGTATATACAGTTAATCTTGATATTCGTAACGTGCTCCTTAAATTTAACGAAAATTTGTCTCTTAAGCTCTCCCATGTATGAAAGTCCGCAGTCACTTGCAAAGATATCGATATTAGGTACTGGCTCAGGATGGCTTAGTTCTTGTATAGTCTATAAAATGATTTGTAGACGCATGCCTAAATATGTTGCCAAGATTGTCTGAAGCCCCCTTTTTTAAATCTATGGTGACGACGAGAGGGAACTCGTCCCATTTGACTCCATTTGACTCCATACAGAGGAGGGCCGTTCGGATTGTCGATAATCCCATTCTCTCGGATCGTTTGGAGCCTCTGGGTCTACGGAGGGACTTCGGTTCCCTCTGTATTTTGTACCGTATGTTCCATGGGGAGTGCTCTGAGGAATTGTTCGAGATGATACCAGCATCTCGTTTTTACCATCGCACCGCCCGCCACCGGAGTAGAGTTCATCCATACTACCTGGAGCCACTGCGGTCATCCACAGTGCGTTTCCAGAGATCTTTTTTGCCACGTACCATCCGGCTATGGAATGAGCTCCCCTCCACGGTGTTTCCCGAGCGCTATGACATGTCCTTCTTCAAACGAGGCTTATGGAGAGTATTAAGCGGTAGGCAGCGGCTTGGCTCTGCCCCTGGCATTGCTGAAGTCCATGGGCGACGGTAACCACTCACCATCAGGTGGGCCGTATGCCCGTCTGCCTACAAAGGAAATAAAAAAAAAAAAACTTCTAACTGGTTTGATTTAAAACGTGTTCCACATGTTCATTATAATTTCTTGTTTGACTTTTATTAACACAGAAGAATACGAAATTTTAATTATAATAAATGTGACCGAGGGTGGGCATTAAGTCCGGTGGTAGATTCTGCGAAGCACTGCTCTTGCTAGAGCCAGTGTTAACAACACCCTCGGTTTGAGCCCCGTGAGCTCACTTACTAGCTCGGTGAATCTAGAATAATCTCGAGGTTAATAGAATTGGTAGGGGGAAAAAAGGGCATTAAGATTTTAAACATTTTAAAATTTTTGATTTTTAATTAGAATATAAATGATTTATAGCCCAATGCAGCTCAGCCCATTAAAACACATATCATGAAAAATAAACAAAAGGAATATGTAATCAACTTAATTGAATTACACAATACAAAAATCTAATCAAAACATCGATTGCCTTGTTAAAATATCATTTATTCGTTCTAATTCATTCAATCATAAAATTATTTACAACGTACACAATTGAAATAGTAATCAAACAATAATAACGAAATGGTAACGTTTACAGTACTGTTACGAAACACATTTATTCATGTAACTAAAGCGATATCACAGATTTTAAAATATTATTATTACACACATTGTTTTATATTAATAAATAAAAAATCGCACTGCTGTTTAAACTATTTGAGGCTAATAATCGTTCTGTACAATTCTTAGGGAAATAAAAAAAAATTAACTAATCGCAATGTTTTCATCTAAAATAAAGTTTTCGATAAACAAATCTTGGCACAGCAGGTCCTGAAAAAAAAACCTAGGTATAATAAGTACAGATATAACCGATTCTTTTTATTGGCATTTGAAAAATTTAGCGAAGAACCATCCCCATCCCCGTCTCTTCCCATCCCATTCCATCGGTTATGCACGAAATTCGTCTATAAGCAAATAATTTGTCACCACCACCACCACCAGCCCGCGTAAAAATAACATCGGATGCTTTAACTAATTATAACTTACGAAAAAAATTCTTGTTTATATAGGTAAAGTTATTCTCGACTATTGCTAGGGCAAGGTAAATCTTTGATATGAAACATAAAAATATTTTAAAAATAAATTTAGTTCGATTTCACGCTCGAATACTCAAACAATTTAAAAAACGAATAGTTTAAAAAAAAAAAATTAATATTACTTCAATATTCGATATTATCCTTGGCCTGGTTACTTTGTCTCGAACGCTGCAAACCGAAGGTTCAGTTTCCGCTGGAGAACTATGCGTTCGTACTGTTTAACTAAGGCCCTTACTTATGAATGAATCGTTTCAAACGTTTTCAACAAATACATAACAATGATAAATTAGCTAAACCATGAAATAACGATTGAAAAACTAAGCAGTGCTACTACATAAAACGCACGTTTTTGTAATGATTTTTAGCATTTAAAAACAACGAAACTAAATAACCGCGATCATAGACTTATATGAGCTGACGAGTATTCTAGAATTGATCACATAGAACAATAGCATTTATGGCTACAGGATATGGTGTAAAGTCCTTTGTGACGTCAACGCGCCGGATTTCACGCTCGCCGGTCCGGAAATGCACAAAGTTTCCTTTTGTGGCATTTCTCATAACTTGATTTGTGACGGCACAACCCTTCAGCCGGGTTCCGTCGTGGCGCCGCAGTGGCGAGACGCGTCACTTCCGGCGAATAACGTATCTTCAGTGATAAGAGGAAGCGTTCTTAATTTAAATCGACCAATACAACGTTTATCTGCACTTTTGAACTTTTTTTTAGACTCTTTATTTTATTTTTATTAATCAACCCATGGACGTCCACTGCTGGACATAGGCCTCCCCCAAGCTTCGTCACAAAGACCGGTCCTGCGCTGCCTGCATCCAGCGGATTGAAGTGGCAGTGGGCAGGACACATTGCTCGCAGAACGGATAGCCGTTGGGGCCAGAAGGTTCTTGAGTAGCGACCGCGTACTGGAAGACGTATCGTGGGTAGGCCTCCCACAAGGTGGGCCGACGACCTATTGAGGTTCGCGAGGATCCGCTGGATTTTTAGACTCACGTAATTGCAAACTCAATTTTATTAATCAGATAAAATTACCGATATTTAAATACTTCGCTTTATTATATTTCATCATTGATTATTTTAAATCTTATAGCTAATTTTAATTACATTATTTATATTAGTTATATTATAATTATTATATTATAATTTACATTATTTACTTTCCTATTATAAAATTAATAATTAAGTTTAAAATTAAAGAAATATTGCGCTGTCAATAGATTCTTTTTGATATGATCAATAAAAAAAGTATTACTTACATTAAATCAAAGGGATAAATAGCATCTCTTATGGTTTGCACTGTATCAAACATAAAAAGGAATGCAATTTACAAAGATTTGTAAAGGCTAAAGTCAAGCCGGCTTCATTTTAAATTAAGAATAATAGTCAAACGAACATTTCTTTTAGCATCTCATTTAGGAACTCACACATTTAATTTAGGTACTCGTAAATTAATTAGCTTTTATAAAGGTTTCAATTCTCATATTAACATAAATTCTGAATGCTATCGAGTGGTCTAAGATTTTCAGAACTGATCTTACAGTAATAATTACTATTAGAGCAGGGCTTCCTATAATTCTATAAACAGCGACATTATTCCAATTGTATACATTTGTATACATTATTCCAGTTGTTGTCGTACCCCCAAGGCGGTAATTACCTCCACGTCTGAAACTTATTAAAGACTTCGATAATCTAAGCTGGAACTGAGGAGACGCTGTCAATAGCAACGATGATAAGGACAAGACCAAATTACACTTGCAAACAAACACAATCGTACGCGATCCGCAATTTTACTGCCTCAGTCGCAGCATGACATGTAACATGTCAGAACGTAATTAAAGCCTTTAGCCCTGAATAGTCTATCCGGCTATAAGTATGTAAATAAATAAAAATATGTATAAAAACACACATACAAATAAAAAGAATGCAAAGTGTACAGAGACAGAGAGTTGTACTGTTGGTAGGACCTCTTGTGAGTCCGCGCGGGTAGGTACCACCGCCCTACCTATTTCTGTCGTGAAGCAGTAATGCGTTTCGGTTTGAAGGGTGGGGCAGCCGTTGTAACTTTATTTGAGACCTTAGAACTTATATCTCAAGGTGGGTGGCCCATTTACGCTGTGGATGACTATGGGCTCCAGTAACCACTTAACACCTACCTCTAGGCCCTACGTCTAGGCAGTATGAGAGGTATGAGCTCAGGTATATCCTCGTATCATCGCCTCACCGTAAATTCATATTTCGGCGTCCCTTGCATTCCGTCTAAACCAATATATGCCATAAACTTACTATTTTATGATATCCCGATTATCCCTTCACTATTTTATTATAGCCGACATGTGAAGTGATTATTTGTCGAATAAATACGATGAACAATGTCATTTCTTAAGCTGAACGTATGTATATCTGCTATTACCGTGACGCTTTTGTAAGTAGGTTATACACTAATTCGCGGTAATAAGATATTTTTTTATTGCTTAGATGAGTGGACAGCACACAGCTCACTTGATTTTGTTACCGGAGCCCATAGACATCTACAACGTAAATGGGCCACCCACCTTGAGATACAAGTTCTAAGGTCTCAGTATAGTTACAACGGCTGCGCCACTCTTCAAACCGAAATGCATTACTCCTTCACGGCAGAAATAGCCAGAGTGGTGATACCTACCCGTGCGGACTCACAAGAGGTCCTACCACCAGTAATAAGAGGTACGAAAAAGAAACAGTTCTCTTATGAAACTAGGCTTCAAGTGTACGTAATTTCTAAGCTGCCGAAACAGAAAAAACCTAATGAAACAGTCTATTGAAAGCTGCACGAAACTTCTACAAAACAAAGAAAATCACTTTCAAGTCTAGAATATAAAAAAATCTATGTGCAATTTAAGCAAAAAGTCGTTAGAGCGTAACGTTATTTATTCAAAAACGTTAAATGAAGGGTCCGAAAACGTGAATTAATTAAACAAACACACACGACGACACTCCCTTTGTATTTTTGAACGGGCAAACATATAAATATGCAATGGATAAATATCGGAAAGGTCCACTAGGAGGCCGTGTAGTGTTTCAATTAATTTTAAGTCCGAAACTCTTTTATTAAATTATAAAACACGGGCATTTCTGCTAACGCTCTGCCTTTTCCGGGTCCGGCGATATGTCAATTTCATAATTAAAGTGCGCTTGACCGTGGCGCTGAGGGCTCGGAGATTATGAAGGCATCGCTTCGGGCCGACAATATCCCGAAATACAAATGAACTCATCTGGCAACGTCAAACACAATTAAAAAGGTTCATGCTTCGGCAGTCATGTGTGAATATTTCTTAATTTTTGCTCAATATGACGCTTGATTCATTTATCGTGCGAGAGTGTGTTTTAGATTATATTTGCAGCTTGTTTGTGTATTTACGTTTATCATCATCATCATCAACAGCCCACAGTCGTCCACTACTGGACATAGGCCTCTCCCAATCTACACCACTGAGCCCGGTCTGCGGCTCTCCTCATCCACTTCTTGCCGTATACGTTATTGCTAGTGAAAATATGACTTTTATAAGTGCCTGTAAAGTCAAACTGCCTATTTTTACCGGGAAGCAGTAATGCGTTTCGGTTTGAAGGGTGTGGCAGCCGTTGTAACTATACTGAGACCTTAGAACTTATATCTCAAGGTGGGTGACGCATTTACGTTGTAGATGTCTATGGGCTCCAGTACCCACTTAACACCAGATGGGCTGCGAGCTCGTCCACCCATCTGAGCAATAAAAAAATAAAAATAAAACTAAAATCGAAACGCATCACTGCTTCACGGCAGAAATAGGTTGGGTGGTGGTACCTACCCGTGCGGACTTACAAGAGGTCCTACCATCAGTAATAATAATAATAATAGTTGCAGCTTGTTTGTGTATTTACATTATTGTTGGTGAAAACATGACTTTTATAAGTGCCTGAAAAGTCATACTTTATTGAAATCAATTTGATTGATTGATACCTGTAAAGTCATACTTTATTAAAATCAATTTGATTGATGTTGATTTAGCGGGCTTCGTTGATGGTAGTGTTTAAATTTTTGTGCGCCTGCCAACCGAATTTTATCCCTTTTCTCTCTAAACTCATCGCCGCCACTGTTGTCTCTATTTCTGCCACGATGCAGGTAAAAGTTGCGATTTGAAGGCGCCGTCAAGTAATGCAATTGTAACTTAATTATTTTATAAGCCGTAAAACTAGTTTTAATTACGTTTCTAACTCGCGAAAACAGAAGAAAGTACTAGATTGAAACTCCTTCCTCGTGTCTCAAGGTGGGTAGGAGCGGCATTCTCGTTATGATGTCTATGAGCTCCGTTAACCACTTAATACTAAATCTGGATACAGCTATGAGCTTTTTTATCCAACTATGATATTTTGTAACAAAATATATTAAGTGATTTGGAAGAAGCTGGAGGAGGCCTTTACCCGAGAAGGGGTTCCGATCATTGGTACAGAAGAAAGCAACGTTAGCGAATAAAAGAAAATTAAAGAAATTCTACCCTAGTATATTTAGATATTAAATCGCATGTAATATATTATCGTTATGGATTGGAAATAAACAGGCTTTATTATTATTATTATTATGATATTTTTTAAACTTAAGCTTTAAGTCGAAAACGAATCTCAAGATAAGAAGAATGTTATAAAGTGTTATTCAAAATCAATGACAGGTATTTTTTTAACTGACTTTAAAAGCTCCGATAACT